GGATCAACATACAGACTGAATAAATACAGCGAAATAATACAACCCTGGCACAGACCTTTCCTGATTTTAAACCATTCAATGTCAACTTGTTCTGTTTGAATACTTGTCTCAATCTATGTACAGGTTCCTCATAAGCAAAATGAAGTGTTCCAGAATACCCATTCTTCACATTGTTGTCCATAGCTTGTGAAGATCTACACAGCCAAAAGCCACTGCATAGCCAATAAAGCACATGTAAATATCTTTCTGGAGTCCTAGTTCGACACTGTGGGTTAATGTGTTGGACTGCAGGATAAGTTTGAACCACAAGGTCAGCAGTTCAAGCTCACCAGCGCTCCTTGGAAACCCTATACAGGTTCACTATGGGTAAGACCCAACTCAACAGCACTTAACAATAACAACAAAACATGTTTTCTGGTATTCAAGATCCATCTGACATCAGCAATGATATCCCTCATCCCATGTCCACATCTGAATCCGGCTTGAACCTCTGGCAGTTTCCTGTTAATATACTGTTGTAGGCATTTTAAATTATCTTTAGCAAAAGTTTACTTGCATGTGATATTAATGATGTTGTCTGATGATTTCCACATTCTGTTTAGTCACCTTTCATTGGAATAGGCACAGATATGGATCTCTTCCAGTCAGATGGTCGGGTAACTGACTTCCAAATTTCTGGACAAAGTGTCTCCATTGTTGCATCAGTTTGTTGAAAGATTTCAATCTGTATTTCATCAATTATCAGAACCTTGTTTTTCAACAATGTCTTCAGAGCACCTTCGACTTCTTCCATCAGTATCACTGGTTCTGGATCATACATTGTCTCAGGAAATGACTGAACACCAACCATTTATGTGTGGTACAATGACTCTACGTATTCATTCCATCTTCTTTTGATACTTTCTGTATCATTCAATATTTTGCTCATAGAATCCATCAATATTGCAAGTCGAGGCTTACATTTTTCTTTTAGTTCTGGTCGCTTGAGAAATGCCAAGCATGGTCTCCTCTTTTTGTTTTCTAACTCCAGGTTTTTGCACATTTCACTGTAATAGTTGATTTAGTCTTGTCAAGCTATCCTTGGAAATGTTCTATTCAGTTCTTTTACCTCCTCATTTCTTCCACTTGTTTTAGTATCTCTACACTGCAGAGCAAGTTTTAGCATGTCTGAAACCCATTTTGGTCTTTTCTTTCTTTCTTGTCTCCTTAAAGACCTTTTGTTATCTCCCATATGATGTTCTTAATGTCATCCCATAACTCTTTCTGGGCTTTGGTCATTAGTGTCTAATGCATTAATCTCTCCTTGAGACGTTCTCTAAATTCAGGTGGGATATGATCAAGGCCGTTTTTTTGTCTTTCGTGGACTTGTTTTAACTTTCTTCACCTTCAGCCTGAACTTGCATATGAGCAACTGATGTTCTGTTCCACAGTCTGTCCCAGGCCTTGTTTTGGCTGATGATATGGAGCTTTTCCAACATCTCTCCCCACAGCTATAGTCTATTTGATTTCTGTGTATTCTATCTGGTGAGGGCCATGTGTATAGTTATCTTCTATGCTGTTGAAAAAAGGTACTTGAAGTACATCATTTGTCTTACAAAATGTTATCATGCGATCTCCATCATTGTTTTTTTCTATCACCAGGCCATATTTTCCAACGACTGATCCTTTTTGTTTCCAATCTCCAATAATTGTTAGTACATCTTGATTGCATGTTTGATCAATTTTAGACTGAAGAGGTTGGCTGAATTCTTCAATTTCATCATCACTGCCTTTAGTGTTTGGTATATGAATTTGAATTATCCTATCATAGACAGTGTTGCACTTCCAGACAGATCTTGATATGTTCGTTTTCATGATGAATACGACACCATTCCTCTTCAATATGTCATTCCTGGCATAGTAAACAATGTGATTGTCAGATTCAAAATGGCCAATACCAGTCCACTTCAACTCACTAACGCCTAGGATATTGATATATATGTGTTCCACTTCATTTATTACAACTTCCAATTTTCCTAGATTCATACTTCATACATTCCATTTTCCAATTAGTAATGGATGTTTATAGATCTTTTCTTCACTTTGAGTTGTGGCCCATCCATAAATGAAGGACCCAAAGGCTTTACTCTATTCATGACATCACTCTTCTTTGAGGAGGCAGCTTTTCCTTCCCTAGTCATATTTTCAGTGCCTTCCAACCTCAGGGGCTCATCTTCCAGAATTGTAACTGGTAATATTCTGGTGCTATTCATCATGTTTTGAAATTCAATATTCTGGTGCTATCTGGCAGTCGTTGTTAAGTGCCACCGAGTGGGTTCCAACCCACAGTGATCCTGTATAGGATTTCTGAGGAGCAGGTGGTGAGCTTGAACCACCGACTTTGCAGTTCAAACAGCTCTGCAGTCTGGTGCATCAACCCACAGCGCCACACCAGGGCTCCCACTGCTATTCATTTAGGTTTTCAGCAGCTAAATATTTACATGTAGTCTGCCTCTCCTTCTTTCTAGTCTCTCTTAGTCTGGAAGCTCATTTGAAAACTGACCACCATGGGTGACCCTGCTGGTATTTAAAATACTAGTGGCATAGCTTCCAGCATCACAGCAACATGCAAGCCACCATAATATAACAAACTGACAGATGAGTTAATAAGAGATGTCAAATTACTAAATAATTCATTTATGCTCAAACTTACAGTGGGTAAAATGAAACAAAGAGGGAAATTCAATGAAGTATTTGCTTTGCTGACAAACTTGATTCTCATCTCCCCTTCTGCTACCTAAAAAATACTTGGAATGCTATCTGCTTTGATCCCATTCTTTTTGCACTACAGGGATTTAAAACAACAACAATAAAAAAAAAATAAAAATAAAAATAAATCCATAAGGCCTGCCTGCACTAAATCTGAAACCTGTCCAAACCCATCTAGTTTTTGTTATCTCAGTTTTTATCACCCTACTCCATCTACTTCTGCCTGAGACCACCATAAGACTCTCCTATGTGGCTGTCTTGCTTTCAAACTAATCCTTCAACTCCATTATCCATGATATTTTGAAAACATAAATCAAATCTCTTTCCTCCAATTAAAAACCATAATGACTTTCAACTCATCTTATAAAAGTAGCATACAAGAGCCTACATGATCACACCCCTGCCTACCGCCTAGCCCATCTTTTCCCATGTTGTCTTCTTTCTACTTTTCAAGTTACAATTTCTCACCCTGGTACTATTAACATTTGGGGATAAATAATTATGTTGTTGAGGGATGTCCAGTGTATAGCAAGATGTTCAGTGGCATCCTTAGGCTCTTAACTACTGAACGCCAATAGCAACACCACTCCAACTTATGATACCCTAACATGTCTGTAAGCATTGTTTTAAATAAGCCAAGCTTATTCCTGCCTATGGCCTTTAGCCTCTCATTCCTTGTACCTCATATGAAATGCTCACTCCAATAACTGAGCTGGATTATCTGGCTCCTTTTCATCATCACTGTCTTGAGCTTCACTGGTTGGCTGATTCAGAGACATCTCTCCAACCACACTAAAGAAAGTTATACACCCTTCCACTCTATCCAGAGCCTAACACTTAGAACAGCAGGCTCCAAAGTTTGTTGCTGTTTCTATGTGCCATCAAGTCATTTCCAACTAATATAAATGTTACACACAATAGCAGGAAACTTCCCAGGCCTGCAATATCATCATTTTCATTTTTGTATCAGCCCAGTTACAGTCACTGCGTCACTCCATCTTGTCCAGGGTCTTCTTCTTTCTGACACTCGACTTCACCAAACATGATATCCTGCTCCAGTAATACAACCCATCTAACATCATGTCCAAAGTACACAGAACAGTCTCATCATTCTCCCTGCTGAGAAGCATTCTGACTATACTTTTTCTAAGACAGATTTGTTAAGTGCTCAAAAAGTAGTTATTGAAAGGAATTTCAAGATCTATAAGAAAAGCCCTGAAGTAGCAAGAGCATGACATACAACATGAAACAACAGCAACACTCCTGTGTTAGCCCACATCATTCAAAACCCATTCTAATGCTCCATTAATTCTTCCTTTTGGAAGGACTGGTAACATTACCATCAGCTATGAGTCATGTCTACCTGTTCATCATGTCTTAGCAGACATGTTTCCCCAGGGAAGGGAACACAGAGGTATGTGAACTATTGAGAAGAACACTGAACATAGCCAAGAGACCCTGGTTCCTTCATTCATACAGAAGGCCAGAATAAGTCTAAGCAGCATTCTTTCATTTATCTTGTTTAAAGTGGTTCAAATAGGGCAATAATTTTGATTAAAGCAGAAAACAATATGACTCTGGTTACTTCAAAAGCCAAAGGCTCGACTGTGTGTTGAAGACCTGGGAGGTATAGGGGGAAGAATTGCAGGGTATACCCTTTGGTTGATTGATGATGCATGGAGGGGATTGTAACTAAGGCAATGAGACGATATACGATAGAATGAATGTAAAATTAATGTTCTCCCATGTAAACTATCACATAATTTATAATAAAACATTTAAGAAAAAAAAAAAAAAGCCAAAGGCTATAATGAGCGAAATGTGAGCGCTGAAGCTAAATTGAACAATTCATTTTTAGTGCTCTTCTGTGAACTGGTAGAATTCAATCAAAATAACGATATGCTGAGTAGTTAAACCTTGCAAAACTAATCTTCAAAGTAATCAATTGTCCAATTTTATCCCACTGAAGTCCAAAAAAGAATAATTCACGTATGTCTCAAGGGTCATTTAGTTACTTCTGAAGCTTTTTTTTGTCATTGGTATTTTGAATGTATATTTCTTGAAAAAATAGACACAGTAAAAAAAATTTTAACTATCATAGCATTGCTCTGAATAAATAAAATTTCCAGATTTTTAATCAAAATCATTGACTTTAAAAACTATCATCCATCAGAGCAAGGATGTGAAACTTTCAGAACAGTTTCATGAGATCGTTCAGAGGGATGTGTGAGCATGAGGAAGTCATCACATACCAGTTGTGCACCATTAACTTCTGCACAGCCAGCAGAGCATTGTAGCGGACTTGCTGGTCTTCATGGTGCATGTGGTTCATTACCAACTGCTTTCCACCAAGCTGTTCAATAACCCTGTGAAGCAGAAATGATGTGGTGAGGATGCTTCGATCACTTTTAAATTCATGCTGGTAGTAAGCAGGAAGTTCAAACACTTGCCAACAAATTTTTGTTGTCGTTGTTGTTAAGTTGCAATAAAGCAGTCAAACTCACCAGCTGCTCCTCAGAAACCCTCTTCAGGGTTACTATGAGTTGGAACCAACTTTATAGCACTTAACAACAAGTCAACAGAAAACAAGTCTTTTTTTAAATATAATTTTCTCTGAATCACAGATAAAAAGTATTCAAATAGTTTCTCTTTTGAATTCCTAACTGAATCCTGTTAGTCTCATTTCTTGATCCAGGAAAATAGCATCAACCCAGATTACAAAGTTTTCTGGATAGCTGTATTTTTACCATTATTTTTAGAGTGAGTACATGAAACATCAACTAATTTGTGGTGCTGTGGGTTAATGTGCTAGACTGCAAAGTCGGTTTGAACTGTTAAGGTTGGCAGTTCAAGTTCAACAGCTGCTCCCTGGAAACCCAATACAGGATAACTATGAGGCGGAACAGACTCAACAGTACTTAACAACAATAACAGATACCCTTAACAATAACATAATTTCCATCAGTAATCATGCTAAATGAGATACAGGCTTTAGCATACACAGGAGAAACATGGTTAAAAACACTCACTAGAAGTCATGTTAATTTCCTGAACAAGATTCTTAATGGTTTTAAGTGCCATTTTCTACTCCAGCTTTTCCATCCCTCTTCATATAGACTATCTCTATTCCTCATTCAGATCTTGGCTTGTCACTTTCTCAGGGAAGCCTTATCTATCTATGCCCAATATTACACTGCTGTTGTTAAGTGCCACTGAGTCAGTTCCGATCCATGGTTTGGTTCACACTCACCAGCCTCTCCTTGGAAACCGTATACAGGGTCACTATGAATCGGAACCAACTCAACAGTACTTAACAACAACAACTCTTTCTCATACTGATAGAATATGCTATGCGGTCTCATTGGCAATTAAACCGATTTATTTGAAATACTATGTTTAATCAGAATATGCTATAGGTACTAAGTGAAAACAATGTGAGAGTATGTTTAGACTGGTATTGTCCAGTTTCACTTTTCATCAAATTTCATTCTCATAGTTATAATAATGCAAGATCTTCAAACAAAATAGACCTTTACTGTGGCAAAAGTACCTAGGTATTGTAGCATATCATTACTGAAACTCAGATTAATTATAATGGCAAACATTTACTCAGCATTCACTATCTCTCAGGCACTTTTCAGGTACTATCTGTGTGGCGCTGTGGTTTAATGCAATGGTCTGCAAAGTCAGTTTAACCATGAGGTCAGCAAGCTTCTTGGAAACCCTACACAGGGGTTGAAACCATTTCAACGACAGTTAACAACAACAACAATATCTCTCATAAAGGCTATGAATAGCCTAAAATAGCTATGGGGAGAAATGATAGCAAATAGAAATTAAAAACACTAAAGTCTTTAAATCAGGAATAAGGTTCAGCAACAAGGAACTCACATGGCTCAGTGTGCCCTGTTGCGCATTGAATTATCAATTACCAAACTAGAAAATACTTATTTGCCCATGTCTTGTTAGCAATGAAACAGAGGGGAGAATTCATATTGCCATCTGAGCACCACAATGACTGATGCTGCTTCCTACCCCCAACATCCTAGACATCCATTTAATGCAGATGTGGAAGTAGAATGAAAGTATAATTGGAAAGAGGTTCTCTCTTCTGTAAGTGCATCGTTGGGCTATTTCTTAGCAATGGTATATCTTAGCTCCAGCCCAAAAGTATGGATTTCCATGTCCATTCTTTGCCCATAAGAACTGTTTTGTGGATGAATTATTTAATTTAACACAAATTTACCCAAAATCTTTGTAATCATTACCAATATTATGTTGCTGCTGTTGTTAGGTGCCATCAAGTTGGTTCTGACTCATAGGGACCAAATGTACAACAAAATAAAACACTGCTTCACCGTGTCATCCTCACAATTGTTGTTATGTTTGACCCCATTATGCTGCCAGTGAGTCACTTCATCTCACTGGGGGTCTTCCCATTTCTAATTGACTTTTGACGTTACTAAATATGATGTTCTTCTCTAGGGATTGGTCCTTCCTGACATATGTAAAGTATGTGAGACACAGTCTCCCCATCATCACTTTTAAGGAGCAATTTGTCCATACTTCTTCAAAGACAGATTTGTTTGTCCTCTGGCAGCCCAAAGTTAGGTCATCTGCTTATGGAAGATTGTTAATCCAATCTTGATGCCATGTTATTCATCATCTAATCCAGCTTCTCAGATTATTTGCTCTGCATACAGATTGAATTAAGTATGGTGAAAGGATACAATGCTAACTCACATGTTTCCTGACTTTAAACCATTCAGTATTCCCATGTTCTCTCTGAATGACTGCCTCTTGGTCTATGTACAGGTTCCTCATGAACACAATTAAATGTTCTGGAACTCCCATAGTTTGCTTTGATCCACACAGTTAAATGACTTTACATAGTCAATAAAGCACAAGTAAACATTTTTCTGACATTCTCTGTTATCAGCCAAAAACTATCTGATGCCAACAATGATATCCCTCATCCTACATACTCTTCTAAGAATCCAAATTTCTGGCAGCTCCCTATCAATGTACTATTGCAACCTGTTTTGAATTATCTTCAGCAAAATTTTACTTGCATGTGATATTAATGACATTGTTCAATGAAGTCTGCATTCCATTAGATCATCTTTCTTTGGAATAGATATATGTATGGATCTCCTCCAATCAGTTGGCCTGGTATCTGTCTTCCAAATTTCTTGATATAAATGAGTGACCATTTCCTGTGCTGCAGCCATTTGTTGAAAGATTTCAATTTGTATTCTGTCAATTCCTGGAGCCTTATTTTGCACCAACACCTTCAATGTAGCTTGGATACATTGCTTCAATACCACTGGTTCTAGATCATATGCTGTCTTCTGAAATGGTTGAATGTATACCAATTTTTTGTTTAACTCTGTGTATTCATCTTCTTTTGATGCCTCCTGCAACATTACCTATAGAATCTTTCAATATTGCAACCTAAGGCTTGTATTTTCCTTCAGTGTTTTTTTTAAGCTTAAAAAATGCTGTGTGTGTCTTTCTCTTTTGATTTTCTGATTCCAAGCCTTTGTGTACTTCATTATAATGCTTTACTTTGTGTTTTTGAGGTGGCCTTTGAAAGTTTCATTCAGCTCTTTTACATCACTTATTCCAGTTGCTTTAGCTTCTCTGTGCTCAAGAACAAGTTTCAGAGTCTCTTCTGATAGCCATTTTGGTTTTTTCTTTCTTTTGTATTTAATGACTTTTTGCCTTCTTCATGTATGATGTTACTGATGTCATCCTTAATTCTTCTGGGCTTCAGTCATTAGTATCTAATGCATCAAATCTATTCTTACCATGGTTTCAAAGTTCATGTGGGATATAGTCAAGATCATATTTTGGCTTTCATGGAGTTGTTTTCTTCAGTTTTAGCCTGAACTTGCAAATGAGTAACTGGTAATCTATTCCACACTTGGCCCCTGGCTTTGTTTTGGCTGATGATATTGAGCTTCTTTATTCTCTTTCCACATATATAGTCAATTTGATCCCCTTTTGTTCCATCTGATGAGGTCCATCACCTTTTAAAAGGTACTTGTAACAAATAAGTTATTAATCTAGCAAAATTCTATCATGAGATCGACAGCATCATTTGTATCATGAAGGTACTACTTTCTAATTACTGATCCTTCCTCTTTGTTTCCAACTTTCATATTCCAGTTACCAGTAATTATCAATGCACCTTGATTACATGTTTGATCAATTTCAGACTGCAGAAGTTGATAGAATTCTTTAATTTCTTTATCATTAGCTTTACTGTTTGGTGTATAAATTTGAATAATGTCATATTAACTGGTCTTCTTTGCAGGTGTATAGTTATTATCCTGGTGTGGTGCTGTAGGATAAAGCCTACATAAGGTTGGTTTGAACCACATGGTCAGCGGTTCAAACTCACCAGTCACTCTTTGAAAACCCTACAGAAGGCCACTATGAGTCAGACCTGAACCAATGGTACTTAACAACAACAATCACAAACAGCATTGTAGTTCAAGGTAGTTCTTTAAATGTGCATTTTGATGATGAATGGAACACCATTACTCTTGATTCTGTCATTCCTAGCATAGTAAATCATGATTGTCCAATTCAAAATTGCCGTAACAGTGCATTTCAACTTACTGATGACTAGGATACCACTCTTCATGCATTTCATTTCCTTTTTGATGACTTAAATATATGCTTAATTCATATTTTGTATATTCTATGTTCCAATTATTAATGGATGTTTGCAGTTGTTTCTCCTCATTTTGAGTTGTGCCCCATCAGCAAATGGAAGGTCCTGAAAATTAACTCCAAAGTAGAGTTTAGGTCAACTCTACTCTGAAGAGGCAGCTCTTTTCTCAGTTGTATTTTGAATGCCTTCAAACTTGAGGGGCTTATTCCATTAATATATCAGACAAGGCTCCACTGTTATTCATAAAGTTTTCAGTGCTATCCATTCAGAAGCAGTCTGCCTCTTCTTCCTCTCTGCTTAGTCCAGAATCTCCGCTAAAACCTGTCTACCATGGGTGCTCTTTCTGGTATTTAAAATACTAATGGGATAGCTTCCAGTATCACAGCAGCACACAAGCTACCGCAGTACCACAGACAGATGAGTACGATTTTTTTTTTAACTATTGAAACTGGTATGTATGTAGGTGCATGATTGGGTGTTAACATGGAACTCCTGCCTCAGTTTCAACTGACATGCCAAGTCCACGGGTTTCAGACACTAAAGTGCATTTGTGAGAGAATACCACTTGCGGAACTTACAAAATCTACGAACAATTCTTATTCTGGCCTCATTTAATAAGTGTCTTGGAGAAAGGCCTGCACATGCTGTAGGTTTACCGTAAGAAGATATGAGAAGGTGATACGA